GTGTTGACGCACAGCCGGGGAGCGCGAACGGGGCCAGGAGCTGCCGCGGTGCCGGTCCCGGGGCCGGCGGGAGCGATGAGCGCTGGGCTGCAGCACCGAGCACGGCCGGACCCGTGTGCGCTCGTACTGCGTGCGGCTCTGCCACGCGAGGAGCCCACGGCATCTGCGCACACGCGAAGTGTGCATGGGGTGCAGATGTGCATGCACACAGGCATGCAAGGGAAGTGCACACGTACATACACATGTGCAAATACAAGTGTGCACAGGGTGTGCGCAGCACGCGGTGCGCACGCACAGGCATGCAAAGTGCACACGTGCGTGCCCACATGTAAATGCAGGAGTGCACATGCACGCGGTGTGCATGCACACAGGCATGCAAGGGCAGTGCGTACACACAAATGTAAGTGTGCACACACACACAAATGCAAGTGTGCACAGGGATACAGGTGTGCACAGCACGCACATGCATGCAAGCAAAGTGCACACATGCGTGCCCACATGTATATGCAGGAGTGCACGTGCTTGAACACAGGCATGCAAGGGCCGCGCATACACACAAGCACACACAAATGTAAGTGTGCACAGGGATGCAGGTGTGCACACGCACAAATGCAAGTGTGCACAGGGATGCAGGTGTGCGCACGCACACAAAAGCAAATGTGCAGAGATGCAGGTGTGCACATGCACACACAAATGCAGGTGTGCACAGGGATGCAGGTGTGCGCATGCACACAAACGCAGGCGTGCACAGGGATGCAGGTGTGCGTGTGCACACACAAATGCAGGTGTGCACAGGGATGCAGGCAGGTGTGCACAGGGATTCAGGTGTGCACGCGCACACACAAATGCAGGTGTGCAGGGATGCAGGTGTGCGCATGCACACAGTGCAGGAGGGAGGGAAGGAGCCACGCGGGGGTACAGCCCGGCTGCCCCTCTCCCCATGGCCGCATGCAGTCGCCCTGCGCTGCGCGGGTTGCAGTGAACAAGGGTGCAGGCAGCTGCATGCTCAGACTGCGGTTTATTGGGGGCCGTGGGGCTGTGGGGCCGTGGGGC